TAGTCGGCAAGAAAGTCTTCAGGACGCCAGTCATGTAGTTCCCGTGGTTTATAAGATGACTGGTTAAGTTCAGGTATTATATGAGAAAAATTTGTGCCATTCCAGTCTTCTGGTGAGTAATAGTGACGAAAAGAAATACCTCGAGCACGTACCCTTGATCCACGGTAACGAGTTGGCGGTCTGCCTCGCGGCCTTTGGCTTACTGATATCACACGTCTTGATGGACCTCTCGAACGTCCCCTAGATATACCCCTTCTTAGAGAATGCCCTCTTGATCTCACACTCGGAGGTCCTCTTATAAGTATAGGAGTACATATTTCACGTGGAGGCATAGCTGGACTAGAAACCGCTGGCTCGTTTTCAAACTCTTGTTGGAAATGCCTTAAATCGTGGCTGCCTCCATTGTCACTTTCTGACTCAGACGACAATAGGCGGTGTTCTTGAATGAATACATCTTCCTCTTCATCATCAGAAAGGCCATCTGAGTCATTGAAATTCATTTGCTGTTCAATTTCGCTTTCTTTCAAACCTGTAAACAAAAATAAATATTGCAATAATTTACATAACCTCAAAATTTAAATTAAAAAATTACTAAAGTTAAGACCGAGTGTACTTATACGAGTACTTAAGAAAAAAACCAAGATTTATCCATACTTTTTTTGTTAAATTCAAAAAATAACAACTCCATTCTTTCAAATGCATCTAGAACTGTATAAAAAAAGTGAAATAAAAATATATAATTATGATATAATATTGATTAAACAGGATTAATTTGTTTATGTATTTTTTGTATTTATTTTATTTATGTATATTTATCTTTTCATTTTAATTTATAATTATAATATATTTATAGAACCCAACCGGATGAGAAAACTATATGTATATACCCCAAATAATAATAAATCAATAATAAATAATAATTTATATTTGTAATAATTTATAATATTTGTAATAATAAAAACATAATTTATAATTTATTTATTATTAAGAATGATATTATAATCATTTCAAACTAGGACAGAACAGTGCACTTTTATTCAGACAACTTAGCGACCGCAGCGCCTCACTCATTTTGTCCATACTTTTGGGACACTTTTCTACAGCGATCGTTCTCCTGTTCTGTAACCTCCATGCAACCATCTATGGTGAAATATGTAAATTTTCAACACAGAGTACGTAGACAGAGAAACCTATAGACAAATTGAAGCCTTCTTTCGCATTCGCACACGAATAAGATAGATTTATTCATACGTCTTGAATAGAAATGAGACAGAGCAGTGTGATTGTTTGTCCCTTTCTCCATGTCGGCTTTTTTGTTTAGCAAACTGCACTTTGCTAAATAACTTTGACAGTTGTAGCGATATAAGGAGTTTACAAGTTGGTTTATGTGAGAAAAAAATTGTTTTGTGAGCTTAAAATTGGTGAATCTTGTTCAGTTCAGTTCTTAGAACAATTAAATTTTTTATTTAAATGTGTTTAAAAATCATAAAGATTATTGTATAACCTAAAACTACGTTATCGTCCTTTCTCACTCGAGGCCACGCTAATCATTAGTCTATAGGTTTCTCTGTCTACGACAGAGTACCTTTGTATAAACTAATGGTGGTTAATATGGAGATATAGCGCACTATAATATGGCATAGCGCCGTATTATAGCGCGCTATCTCTCCATAACACATAGCGCGTGCTATGTAAGTAGTCGCCATGGCACTATTGCGCTATATCGCTTTGACTCTATTAATTATTATTATCTAGTGGCTACTAGTTCTAACAGCAGTACTGTTGGGAGAGGATATGTGATGCAAATTTGATCTAGTATCACGCTATTTATCGCGCGCGACCTTATTTAGTGTTGGACGTTATTTAGTGTATACTGTATACTTATAAGTGATCGAAGGACACAGTTGTCTGCTATAAAAGAAGCCTAACTAATGTTTTTAAATGTAAATACGAGTAAAATATAGATACAAAAGTGTACATTATAGTGTATTTAAATAGTTGATTTTTATAAATACAATCAATAAACTTTTAAATACACCGTTATTTGATTTATAATTTATATTAAGGTTAAAATAACGTTTACATCAATTATAATAAAAAATCATTTATTTTATTTCGTTTTAAAAATTACATGACTTAAAAATATTTTGTGGGTTATAAAAAGTCGTAAGCGTGAAAAGTAAGAAAAAGCGTTCATTGGTTTTTCTTTACTGCTTTATTTTAGTCTAAATGCGACTTATTACGAAATAATGTTCTAATATAGCACGCGGTCTATCCAATGACCGACATGTATTGTAACGTGCTACGAGATATTGCGTGCTGCAAAACTAAACGCGCTTGCCGGACTCCTACACGTTTTCTTATTAATAGCGCGCTATAACATAGCGTTTTTAATATTGCGCTAGAAATTTATTGTTTATAGCATTGACTAGATTGTGCTATAGATTTATAGTCGTTTAGAACAACTTTAGTATAAACCGTAGACAGTTCTCTGTCTACGTTATAAACTACGTTAGTACTCTTATTAGTTTGTGGTATAAACGGAACCAAGTATATATAATATAATATAATATAATTATATGAACAGTGTTGCCAACTTGACGGGTTACCCGTCAGATTTGACGAGTCAGTGATGTTGGCAACGGGAAAAAATTGTTTTTGACGGTTAACGGATTTTTTATTCATTTTTTTAATTATTTATAATTAATTACAACGGCTTGCGCCAATGACAGTAATTAATAGGTAAAACTAAACATATAACATAATTAATATAATTCAAAAGCAAATAACAAGTCAGAGATCGAACATACTTAACAATAAATAGAGGAAATAAAATAATATAAAACAGAATAAAGTGATAACAACATACAACTTATTTACCTAACCAACATGGCTTTCACATAACTTGAGACAGTTTGATCACCTTGAGTGTGTCATTAAAGATGTCACATTCCGGGACTGTCTCCATTAAGGAGTTTAAAGCACCATGCATGCGACACAACGGAGATTGCGCGCGCGACACAGTGCGGCAATGGGATGTGGCGAACAGCCGGTGTCGCGAGTAGGCCTATGACGCAGGTAGTTGTTAAGCACATAAAGTGTACACAAAGTATTGTGCAGCTCTGGGGAATCCACCATGATCCTTAAAATTTTTATGGCTATTAGGATCTGATCTCTGGCTCTACGCATTGAAAGGGAATTATATCCTAACATTCCTAGCAAGAAAAGAGTAGGATACATAAATGGATAATATCCATAAATCTTCTTATGTAAAAAACGCAGAAAGGCTTTCTGAACCTTTTCAATCAACAATTCATATGTGGATTCGTGGAGATTCCAGACGGCTGCAGCAAATTCTAACTTACTTCTAAGTAGACAGTCAAATAATAATTTGATGACAATAGGATTATTGAAATCACGGGCATTGCGTAGGACAAAACCTAGGCGTCTGTAAGATTCTGAAGCTAGGGCGGACATGTGTGCATGGAAAGTCAATCCGCAGTCAAATGTCACACCAAGATCTCTAATGATTGACACGCGCTTTATTTCAACACCTGCTAAGGTATAGGTGGCATGTGTAGGTTGTAACTTGCGGCTAAAGATCATGACTTAACATTTACCGGCATTAAACATCATATTATTATCTATACTCCACTTATGGATTCGGTCGATGTCACTTTGAAGATATTCGGGAGTTACATCCTTATCAATCACTTGGACTAATTTCAAATCTTCAGCATATAGGAGGCATTTGGCATACTTTACTACTTTAATGAGATCGTTAACCATAATGAGCAAGAGAAGGGGGCCTAAAACTGAACCCTGGCTTACACCTGAGCGCGTATGATATGACTTCGAAATAAAGGATCCATGGCTAACATACTGTTTTCTATTTGACAAGTAATCAACAAAAAAATTTTAGAAGTTTTGGGGTAAAACCCATGCTGTATAATTTATTTAATAGAATATCGTTATCCACTACATCGAACGCCCTTTTAAAATCTAAATATAGCACATCTACTTGTTGACCTTTATCCATGTGATGAGATATATAGTCAACGAGGGATAACAAGTTAGTTCCTACTGATCGACCCGGTCGGAAGCCATGCTGCTCCTCACAAAGCAGCGTATTACTTACTTTTTGAGAATATTGCTCACAAAGAAATATACCTGCGCGTATATTTCTTTGTGAGCAATATTCTCAAAAAGTTTTGCTGCGCACGATAGTACTGCGATAGGACGATACTCTTCAACCAAGGTCTTATTGCTTGTTTTAGGTATTGGAGTGACTTTCGATATCTTCCACTGTTCTGGGTATACGCCGGTGTTTAAAGCCAAGTTAAAAATATAGGTAAGTACACTAGCAAGAATCTCCTTGCATCCTTTTAAGATGTAAGCTGGGACTTTATCTGGACCCACATAACTAAGTGGTTTTAACTTATTTATTCCTGATTTTACTTGTGATAAGGTAAAAAAGCTTATGTTGATATCTCCATCGCATGACAAGGGAGTACTAGATATATTGTTGAAATCCAATATGGGACTATTTGGTAGAAACACACTAGCAAAATAATTTGCAAAGGCATCTGTAGCTTCACTATTGGAAAAACTACAGCCTTTGTAGGTCACAGTGGGCTCAAAGCCACCCTTAGTTCGAAAGCTACTAATATGATTCCAGAATTTTTTTGGATTATTCTTAATGCCATTTTTAACTGGGCTACTAAAATTTATCATATGTATGTTTATATTTTGGTTTGTTGGTTATTCTCTTAGATTGAATTTTGAAAAATAATCCATGTGTGTCAAGAATCGATATCAAATCAATTCATTTTTAATATTTAGGGGGAATGAAAACTCGAAAATCCCTACTTGACGGGTTTTAACGGGATTATAGTGTTCTCTACAACGGGAGCTAGATTTTAATGTTGGCAACACTATCGGTGAAACTGAAAATTGTCAATCTCAATTTGTCACACGTAGACAGAGAACACATTTTCGAAATGAAATGTGATTTTGTTTACATTTATTTGCTTAGATGTAAAGACATTTTTTTCATGTAGTTGATTTGAGAATAATTATTTGAATGATTGGATTAATTTATTTCTCAAAATCATGTGTATGTACAGTTATAATAAACATACTTAACCGTTTTTGAGTTGTTATTATGAGACCACATGTGTTTCTTTTAGCCCAAATATTGAACAAAGTACGCGATGCGGACCCAAATAATAGCGACGCAATTAAAGACGTACTCGGATCCTTTTTTCAAAATGTTTTAAATCATACCAGTGATAATTGTAACCAGTGGTTGCGAACTTTGGAATACATACTCACCCGGTATATAACCTATTTTATATATATTTTAAATTAAATTATGACAAATATAAAATAAATTAGTAAAGATAATGTATTATTTCATCACAACCTATAATTAACTTATCGCTTATCTTATCGTTATTTTATAATTTCTGTTTCTGGTCAAAAATTGTAGGTGTTTGGTGTAAATAAATATGTTTTAGGAAATATTAGGTAATTTTTGAAACAGTTATGCCTTTTTCGTAACGGCGGCTCTACATGTTGGCCAACACAGTGGTGAATGTGGTGGCGAAGATATTGGGCGAGAGTTTGTGACGGCATCCACACGTTGGAAGGTCGTTCAGTTTGCTTCGGTTCAGGCCAATGTGTGGACGAATTTATTTTATTTTAGATGAAGGCGCAGTGGCTTAGCAATGAGTGGCTACGCCTGGGGCCGCGTTTGAATCCCGCACGGAACAAGTATTTGTATATGTCCTACAAATAATTATTCTGGGTCTGGATGTGTGTCCTTGTGCAATTTATGTTTGTAAGCTGCCTCCACGATACAGGAGAAAATCCAAGTGTGGGGGTAATGTTTTTATAAAATAAATATAAAAGAATAGTGAATATTAATGGGGCTGTAAATAGATATACGATATACTTAAGATTAGCTTTATTTATTCTTTACATGCATCATAAACCGGAATAAATACTATTAATTAGAACTTAACTTATTTTAAAGTTAAAGAAGTTATAATCGATTAGTCTATGTTTTAAAATTGGGTTTTGATTTTAAAGCTTAGCAATACATGTACTTGCTTTTCTATCGGACATTTGATGTATATAAAAAACACCTTATAATTTATTTGGTAATTTAATTATTTTTTGAGAAAGACAAAAACAATAGGAATAAATATAATTAACACTGACTTGATAATAGATATTAATTATAACTTAGAACATAAATGAGAAACTCATGACAAGGAAAGTGGCTCAGGACCATGCTTTGCGGCAGTCTGTGGAGGAGGATGTTCAGTAGTGGACTTGTGAAGAGCTGTTATGATGATGATGATTCGAAAACTTGCACGATTAAATTATAAGAAATCAACATTTTTTTTATAGGATAGGGTGACAAACAAGCACACAGTTCACCTGATAGTAAGTGGTTACGGTGGCCCACAGACATCTACATCTATCCTCGATTACGAATCAAAATGCAGATGTGTTTTCACCCGTGAGAACTAAGATGAAATGCCTCGTTTCCTTTAAAAAGGGTCTGGTTGTCTACACTCACTATATGAAACGCAGCATCAGCAGGTTAGGTTAGAAGATGGCAGGGTCGAGTGAGCGAACGAAAGAAACGCCCAGGAATGAAAACACACACAAAACCATTATTTTAAATTACAAGTAAAGTCATATGGCCAAGTTGTGGAACATGTGGGCACACTATTTTGATTTTATTATTTTGTTTATTTCAGATATCCGAAATACTGCTCAACATATAAAGCAACTTCTGAAACATATTTAAGTCACTTTTTAAACTGGAATAACTACTATGATGTTATTGAAGCTGCAAAGTGTGTTCATTCCTTGCAACAGGTACTTGTTTTCCAAAAAAATTTTTACTAATCTTGTGGCAATTCATATATTATTGTAAATTATATGTAGCTTCCCTTATTGTAAAGAGGTAACCTTTAACTTGAATGTCAAGAAGAACTCACTGCTATTACCAAGTTCAGTCAAGTCGTCAATCAAGTCAAAATCTGATACAGATCACCTTGTTTTTTTTAACTTAATTTTGTTTTAAATAAAGATGCACTTACATGAGTAATGTAAATACATATTTGTTTTAAACTTCATTCTTGTAAATATTTCACTCTATTGTATTATCTACATTATTTACTACAAATGTTTTTTGTGTGGTATGTGGCAACTCCTGGATATACCGTTAGCCTACCATTGGTTTCTCATATTTGAATAAGTTTCAAAAGGGTCATTTATTTGATTCTTGCTTTGCTATGTTGAAAATAAAAAATCTAAACAGCCAGCTGCTAGTCGCCATGATGGTTTCTGAAAAAATTAATAAATATCCTATGTTACTCCATGTTCAAATACCAATACCTACCTAATTTGTTAAATTATGTAAAACTGTTAAGACTATAGAGAGGAACAAAAAATGGACACAGCCTATACATACATAATAATATAAAGAAATAGTATTTTGTATTTATAATTCTTTTGTTTTTAGGTTCAATGGCCCCAAAATAGGACAGCTACAGCGAAGTCAGCTTGGCGAGACCAAATGGAATTATTATGTGAAGCAGCACATTCTCTTATTGATGCTTTGTTTAGTGACTCTGTTGATATGTACAAAAAAAGTAATAAAAAGGTGGGATTTTTCATACATACATACATTCAGACTCATTGATACATAATATTTTACTATAAAATCTTTAAATATATAATGCAACAATCAGATAAAATTTAAAAACTCTGAATAAATACAACAGAGTATGAAATGGATGCATGCAGTTGCCCCAGGACCACTTTGTGGCAAACCTTGAGGGGAGTCTTATGTTCAGCTCTGGACTTTGGATGGGTTGTAGTGATGATGATGTAACCTATTAAGAAACTTACTATGCAATTACAAGTCCATTGACTACTGATATATCGATAAAAATGACATCTTAAATCTCTTCTTTCACACTCTCTTCTAAACTTAACATCATGATGCTTGTAAGTGTAATCGTCCATCAGCCCCTGCTGCCTGCCATGACTGGTATCTGGATAAGTAGTACAAATACACAAAACAGTGCAAACTATCAGTTGTAAATTGCAGATATGACCTTGGTTCCATTCTTGTGTGTTCAGACGTTCAATAAAAATCTAGTGTGTTGCATGTTTTTGGTTCAGATTTGTCCATAAACAATATGCGGTTGGTTCAGAAGCATTGTTGCATTCTTATTTATTTATTTATTCTTCACTGTAAGACCATACAACCAATAACAATGGGCAATGGGTAACAATGGGCGGATTTAATGCCTGTCGGCATTCTCTACCAGTCAGTTATGAGTTTAAAGAAATGTTCTAAATAATAATGTATTAACGAGTGACCCTACTCACAGTCCGACAAGCAACCAGTTGCGACATTTACATGCATCTAAGGATGGCGTCCAAAGGACTATACATATTCATAAGTCACAGTAGATGGATTTGTGTGATTATTAGTTTTCACCTTATATTGAATAAATATGGTTTGATTTTGGCATTTAAAAAAAATATTATGTTCTTCCTATGCATTATTTTTCATTTAATGTTAAAATGTTACAGAATCTTGCACAGTCTAATTCAAGTTCATCGTTAACTGCAGCTTTAAAACAAATTAGCTTAACAGGTTCAACAAGCAGCACAAACAAGCACGAGTTGTTGCAAACCAGACTTAGAAATGTATTTGTTTTTATACAGGCCATGATAGTGTAAGTCACACATGTTATTTTTTCTCAGACTTATTAATTAGTACTGGCTAACTGTATATATTCACCATAATAGTGGCGGTGTTAGCATATCCACTATCCGCCAACATCCCGTGGGTGTCGTAAGAGGGGCCAGAAGGAAACTGAAACATAAGATGGGTAGCGACATCTTACTGATAACTAAAATGAATAAAAAAACTGTAAAGTGTGCCAACTATAGTAAAAACTTGTCTATAATACAATCTATGGAGGAGGCCTATTTTCAGTAATGTAGTTAATAGGCTATAATGGAACTCGAAATATTTATAAAAATAATAAATATCTAAATAATAATAAAAAAATATCTATATTTGTTTTTCACAAAAAACATTTTCAGTGTTTGCTTACTATTTAATATGATTTAAGTTAATTAATTGAATATTGCTGTTTAACATATATTAAATCCTTTCTCCCAGTGAAATTTATCCGGTAGCTAAACCAATACGCCCTCAAACTATATTAGATGTTATTCTAAGATCACTCAGTGTAACTAGTGGGAAAAAGTTACAGTCCGATGATGTTGCTGTTGTAAAAATACAAGCACTGAGAACATTAGATGCTTTAATTGCTTGGTGAGTGTATTTTTTATTATACAATATTGCCTGAGTTATATATACCATTTATCCATATAGTGTTTACTACACTGTGGGTTTCTCTGCCACATCATCTTTCGCATGAAAAAAAAAATAAAAATAAATAAAATGAATGTTGTGTAGAGTTCTTCTTTTTATTATTTTAAAGAAAATAGCTTCATCGTTTAACCAATGATTCTCTGCCAATGTCAAGGTTGAGAAATATATTTTGACTACTAATTTTAAAGGCGATTTTGTGTGTAACCCAAGAAGTTGAGATACCTTAAAAATAAATAAACACCACAAGATTAGTTATATATTATATTGAAAATATACTAATATTTATTGAAGAGTTATAATTAAAAATGTTATTTATAAGAAATGATTGATGGTGACATAACTTTGTCTATATTTAGCTTCAAGAAATGTATAGTGTAAATAATGTTGAACTATGTCAATACTTTCACATTGGCAAAAATATATTTTGCAAGCAAGCATTAACAGGTCTAAATGGATTTTAACATCGTCTTTATGATGCGGAATAGTGTGAATGTAAAGTATAAAATCTGTTACAAGCTCACAAGGACATTCATAGCAGAAAAATGTTAATCAAAATCATCTTATCATACATTATATTGTGGTTCCCGAACTTTGTATTCTCGATGTTTATACTTTCTTTCTCATTAAACAATATACAACAAATATTGTTTATGAAAGAGTATTATATAAAAATAATTTTTGGTCAGAGTTCTCCATTTATCACACTATCGTATGCTTAGTAGTCACAGCCACGATGTTGGCATATTCCCTGGCCCATCTTGAATAATGGTTGCAGTACACAATTAAGCTCGCCGCACCGTTGCGGCCCAGCCCTTCTCTAGTCATCCCTAATCAGCTTTATAGTAGGTGAAATGATGTCTGGATAAGGCAAACAGGGGAGTGAAGGCATGAAGTTGGTTTAGGGCCATACCTTTTTGGATAGCTTATGTTCGTGTGTAATAGTGGATTTGATATAATGGCTATGATGATGACAATGTTTTGATGTGACATTCAAAACTACCTAGTATATTATTATGTATCAACATAGTTGAGTCCTGGCTTTAAAATGAGTTTACCTTCTTTATTTTTAGTTTGGGAGCAAATCTTATTCCATTTTCGCCGCTAGTCTTTAGAATAGTGATGCAAACATTCAGATGGAGTACTGATATGTCTAATGATGGTTCAAGGTATGGTATGGCTCTTTGAAATTTGCTTTTTGTTGTAACGGCCCCAAGCAAAATATGTAAAAAACCAAAAAAATTGCTAAGTGGCTAACTAACTCTGAAATTAGTGGATGTTAATCTGAATTATTAAAAACACAACTGCCATTGTCAATCCGCCTGTCAATCGTGGCAATTATGGCAAATATACGCTCCATAAGGCATTCTATGACGGAGGCCTGTGTTTAGCAGTCGACTTTTGACTGGCTGTAACAAATTAATGAAAAATTCTTATAATTATACTCGTAATGCATTAACCCCTTTTTGTTTGTATCTCCTAAATGTATAGTAATCCTCCTATAGGCTTTAAGTAGTTTTTTATTTTATAGGATAGGGTGACAAACAAGCACACAGTTCACCTGATGGTAAGTGGTTGCTGCGGCCCATAGACATCTACATCTATCCTCGATTACGAATCAAAATACAGATGCGTTGTCATCTGTGACGACTAAGATGGAATGCCTCGTTACCAGTAAAAATAGTCTCCGGTTCTCTACACTCACTTCTGTCCTTCCCCGGTCGAGCCGACCCATTCGTGCTACAACTAACTACTAATATAACTACATCATGGCTCCACCACATATAAAAAGTAGTGCTGCTAGCTTATATTTTTTGGACGTGGAATTGTTTATCGTCTTTTTCGGCATTTGTATTAACTAAGAGGGGTCGATGATTGTGTTGTACATCAACAATAATCGAAATGTAAATATTAAGTAATTTTTTTTTGTGTATAATCTAGAGATGTTCGTCGCTCAGCATACAACAGTCTTTCCAACTGGCTAACCACACTGCACTCTCACCGTTTCACTGCTGGAAGTTCGTCCTGGGAAGATGAACTCACTGGACACATAGTTAATGACACTACGCCGCCGAAAAAAACAGTCCAACTTACAGTGAGTTGGTTATATTTTTAAAGAATGTATAATTGCCGGCACGAGTCGTGAGCGCACTTTTTATTGGTCGATATGACGTTGACCACGCTGACGCTCAACGTGATTGGTTCGTCAACCGATTCTCGTCGTTTATTGGGTTTGCACGTATCATTCGACTACCGTACACTTGAGAGCAATTTCAGTGACAACTTTTTAACTAGTTTATTTTTGTTATTTGTAGTATTACCTCGTTGTTAATTGTTGTTTGTGTATTTCTTGTTTTTAACTGTTTTTGATATTTCTTGTTGTTAATTTTTTTTTTGTTATAATTTGAGCATTCCGATTTTGGTCTAAATATGCAGAGAAGAAAGAATTCGGTGTTAAATAGACAATCGCGACGAATAGTCTATTCAGTGTTTTGTTACATGAAATAATTAGGTATTGCTAAAAACATGATAGACGTCTATAAACAGACTGCTGAGGCGAATAATGTCTACGTAGCTACTGTACGGCGTACAGTTAAATGAGAAAATTCAATTACGAATAGAAATAACAAATGTACCAAATAACTTTGGCCGACAGTGTACCTACGCTGGCTCAACCCCCACTATAGTTCATCTGTGCTCACGTTTCGTGCCGGCAACTATACTGTGTTTTTTGTTTTTGTTTTTTTTTCGTTGCCGTCTTTGTTTTGTTAGCCTATCACAAATTCTCTGCTGGACGTATCCCTCCCACCAGCATACGTCTGTTGATGCATGACTCCCTCTATTCATTATCACTCCACACATTAAGTGTTCTTTCTACACTGAGCTAGCCACTACAAGGTTACTTTGAGACTACCATTATAAAACCTTTCTTCTCTATTGTTTGTCAAGTCTTCGTGCTAGAATAACCCATTGCAACATCACCTTAAATATTTTTACGGTTTTTAATTTAGGTTCTGATAAATGCTCCACTATTTGGTTCAGTATCGGTTCTAGTTCTAGTTAAAGTATCAGTTTTAAGGTGACTCTAGTCGACATTATTTCCATAGAAATTTCGGAGGGGTTTTACTCCGCTGTTTGACAGTGTACATCCAAAGTTAAACATGATATCGTTTTGTCTCATTATTAATTTTGTCTGTACCGAAACAGAATAGTAAAATAAAAAGTCAGTAAAAAGTTACGAGCTACCAAAGATTCGTTTTTATTGCCAATTTTAACACAACTTTGGGCGTAAATTAGTAATAAAAGCAGTGTAAAATTTCCAAAACAAAGTCGGTACCGACACAGCTCAATTATCGAAGAATTCAATAAATTTTATTGGTAATTGATTCATGCAGTGGGTTTTTCATAAGACCCCTCTTCCAAAGGCCTTTTCGTATTTTTTTTACGCGCGCGTTTTTATATGAATTATCGTGCATCTCACTGAATAATTTTTCCCTCGGTGCGGTGCGGGAGGACGACACTTACACACACATGCATGCGCGGTGACGCGCGCTTATTATAGTTTTATTCAACTCAGTCAGCTGCGGCCTGTGACGTTCGTATGATTATAGCTATACCTGCGCTCTAAATTACTACGCTACATTGACCCCTGCTTGAACTTTGGATTAAATCAAATTGATATAAGCACAGACAAAAATAGAGGAATATATAAATAAAATTTTGAAAAAAAAAACGATCTCAAAATTTTATTACCTATGTCCTATGTCAATTTGATTTACATTCGATTATAATTATATTCTCAGACGTGCAGGTTTCCTCAATATGTTTTCCTTCACCGCCGAGCACGTGGTAAATCAGCACAATTGCAATTAACAATTTCATTGATACCGGCGGGGATCGAACTCGGGTCTGCATGTCTGAGAAATTAAAAAATATATATTTCGAAGAAATGTGAAGTTCGTCAACACGCATTGAGGCAGCGTGGCGGACATTTCCTTGCCTTAAAACCCTCTCAGAAATGAGGGGAGGCCTGAGCCCAGCAGTGGGACGTACGAGGGTGGATTGAAAAGTACTCGGCCTAACACAGATCCATTCAATTCTAAAAATCAAATCTACGCACATTATTTAGTTCAGTTCAGACTAGTTCATTGTGTGAAGTTCGAAACGTGTGCGATAATTAGTTGTGATTTTATAAATTTATTAACAAAGTAATCGGACATAATTTCCGCGAATGGAGCAAATCGAGCAGCGTGCCGTCATTAAGTACCTCCATAAGAAGGGGCTATCATCAAAAGCCATCCATGATGACATGGTCAGTACATTAGGCGATTGTGCTCTGTCATATTCATCCGTCAAAAAAATGGATAGCATAATTTAAGCGTGGTAGAGAGAGTGTGAAAGATGAACCCCGCTCTGGAAGGCCTTCGACGTCAACTACTGACGAAAATATTAAAAAAGTACTTGATTTAATAATGTGAGACCGCAGATTAAAAATTAGAGAGATAGCCGAGATTATAGGCATCTCTTATGAACGAACTCAAAACATCATTGTCAACGAGTTGGGTTTCCACAAGGTGTCTGCGAGGTGGGTTCCGCGACTGCTTTCAGTTGAACAAAAAAGGACGCCATTGACTATTACACGCGACTGTTTGGAGTTATTTGAAGCCGATGCAGATGATTTTTTGAATCGTTTTGTTACTATGGACGAAACATGGGTTCATTACTGTACACCGGAAACAAAACAACAATCAAAACAGTGGAGAAGACCTGGTTCACCACCCCCTAAAAAGGCTAAGTCGATTTTGTCGGCAAATAAGGTGATGGCTTCATTATTCTGGGACTCGAAAGGTGTGATTATGATTGATTATCTTGAAAGGGGTCAGACTATAAACTCTGATTACTACTGCACCTTACTACGTCGTTTACGAGAGGAAATAAAAGAAAAACGTCGAGGAATGCTCAGAAGAAAAGTCCTGTTTCATCAAGATAACGCCCGTGTTCACACGTCAGTACAGTCAATGGCTGAAATTCACAACTGTGGCTTTGAACTGTTACCGCATCCGCCGTATTCACCTGATCTGGCACCATCAGACTTCTTTCTGTTCCCTAACCTAAAAAAGCACTTGGGAGGTCAAAGATTTTCGACAAACGACGAGGTCAAAGCAGTGGTAGACGCATATTTTGACTCTAAGGAAGAATCATTTTTTTCAACGGTCTAAATGCTTGGAAGGGGAGGTGGCAAAAGTGTATTGAACTTGATGGTGATTATGTAGAAAAATAAAAATATAACTGATTTAGTATGTGTTTATTTTCTTGGTTAGGCCGAGTACTTTTCAATCCACCCTCGTATATAGGATGTAACTTTACTTTTACTTTTACTTTTATAAATATGTTATTTTACCGACGAAAATTTTAAAGAAAAATAAAAAATAAGCAACCGACAACCTCCTAGGTCCCTAGGTGACTTGCGAGATGTCAGTGTAACAAAACAAAACGGCCCAGAAAAACAGACTTTCCAACTGATAGCTAAATCAGCACGCAACAATTTCATTGGTGCCAGTGGGAATCGAACCCGGGTTGCTCCCGTACTGTGATACCTATAACGAGCGCTAACCATGTGAGCTACCACGGCTCTCAACGACATCGTTCCGTTCGTGTACAGCGCTGAAGATAGCAGAGTAAAAAATTAGAGATTGTGGTGTTTGAAATTTTAAAAAATGTGTTTTTGTTACTAGTACTTTCATATGCATTTAATAAAAAGCTGTTATTTTAACATTACAAACAGACACTTAAATTTTATTTATTTGTAGATATAGATATTATTCATATTGGTGTCATTTTAAAGGGAATATCATGTACTATTATAATAATAAAATAATTCTCTCCAGTAAATATTATGCTTTTCTTGTAAAACTCGAAATAACAAATAAATACGATTTCTTAAATTTACGCGAACACTACACATTGAATAAAACTATTATTTACGGATTTTATCGCGTTTAATTACTTTAATTTATTTTTATTATTATCCCGACGTTTCGGGTGCTTTACAGCGCCCATGGTCCCCCCCGTGACCATGGGCGCTGTAAAGCACCCGAAACGTCGGTATAATAATAAAAATAAATTAAAGTAATTAAACGCGATAAAATCCGTAAATAATAGTTTTATTCAAATAAATACGATTTATTTTTATATTCCCATATGCTTTATTTTCATCCTTTATTTTTTATTTGACCAATTTTCTTTTAACAAAATTAAATTCTGAATTGGTTGAGCTTTTTGAGAATATTTTTATTTGAATGTTAGGTAGGTACCTATTTAGTTTTTCAGTAGTAATCGTTTTTGCCTACCTACTACTACCTGCCTAAGTACGTCGGTACTAAGGAAACAGTCTTGACGGGTCACTTGTCTTGATAAAAACATGTGTTTACATCTAGTGATATTGTGTGTATATAAAAAAAGTAAGAAGACAGGTAAGTATTTTTGAAAACAATTTATAGGTAGGCAGAACTAATTACAATTATTATCTAAATATTATAAATGCGAAAGTTTGGATGGATAGATGTATGTTACTCAATCACGCCAGAACAGCTGAAGGGATCTGGATGATATTTAGCTCAGAGATAGGTTATACCTGGTCTGGAATAACACATTTTTTGATACCGTTTATTCAGGTATTTCGATCCTGTGGGATAATTTTCGAGTTCACGCCTTTGAAGCCGCTGGCAATAAATTGCGATGACTGTTCCAGTTCATGCTTCGGCGTCGTGAACTGTTGAGTGATCGCTGCATGACCACCCGGGGAAAACAAAACATAATAAAATAAGCAATCTATATTAGGTATCTATAGAGCCATAGAGGTATAGTATAAAGCGATAACGTAGCGCAGTGCCTAATAATTTAGTACGAGTTTGTAGGTAGGTACTGCTGATTTCTTAGCAAGCGTCGAGCGGCACAGAATAGGGTGGTATGTATGTGTGCATCGTGTTCGTGTAACTTCGTTTTTGTTCTAACGGTTCGGAACGCCGTACGAAGAAGATGTGCGTTCTAACTGCTCTTCACTGGTACTATCTCTGTCGGGCACGATGCCAGGTGAGACAACGTGCTTTTTGGCCGCGCCCACCAATGAGTTCGAGCCCGCGACTTGAGCCACCTTAAGATCACAGTTTATGTTAATTGATTGTGACGTAGACATAAAAACGTACGCTCCTAGTTTTACATGATATCTACAACATTTCCAAAAATTACGAAAATTAGACTATGTTTACTGGTGGGAAAACGTTATCGCTTTTTGTATGAAAATTTACAGCTTCACAATCCTCTTAAGTATCACAAATGAAATATCTTTTTTCAGGATTCTAGTGAAAGGGCGAAGCCATGGTTATATATATAAGGAGACTTTGCTATTGAAAATATAATTTTATTAATGTTTGTTACTCCATCAAATTAAGTTAATACTTGTTTTCATTTGTGTTCTTGACTTTCAGGTTATGACTCTTAACTAATATTTAAAATGCGATAGTTCGGTTCCTTACCAGTTATTATGAAAAACGTTTGAATTTTTATTTTTTAGGTCAGAGATATTTTCTGAACCATTGGCAAATCAATAAGAAACTTCTCTACTTTCAATAATACTATTAATTATTTATAATTTTCTATCTAAACTATTATTTATAATTTTCGCAGTCTTCAATTTTACCGTCACTAAAATAAACAAATTAAAATAACAAATAATAAACATATTAAAATAATTAAAACCATAAAAATATAACTTAAAATGGAAAACCGATCGAGTTTCAAAATACTTAATTGATGATGATTAAATAGGATTGTTCCCCACCCCATTTAATTTAACATACGCAGTTACATTCATTTCTGCCTACTGCAAAAGCTAGTAAAAGATTTTTTGGTTTCAAAAAAGTCTTTCACTTCCCTGTACCTTGAAAGTAGTAATAATTTTCATCTTTTTTCAAACATACCCATACCGAGGATACATTTAACGCCTTTCGTATATAAGGTTCTCGGGAAGCATCCCCGTACCCTTTGTTATTATTCTTCTTTGTTACTCTTGAAAATAACAATTAAAAATATCTGATGCATAATTTAATTGGTAATGATTAAATGGAGTTGTTCACCACCCATTCACACCCATTTAATTTGACATTAATTTTTGTTTAATGCTAGCAAAAGATTTATTTAATTTTAAAAAAGTCTCCATCACTACTCTGTTGGTTTATGCTGAACCTTTAAAATAAAAAGGGATATCATTGGATATAATTTACGTTAATTACAGATGAGCGGTCAGTCCATGAAAAATCTAAGCAAAAAGGCAAGGAGGAAGCTTCAAAATACAATGTTAAAAGAAAGCACCATCGCTGCACACATGCCTGGTGAGAAAAATAAACTTACTGTGTAAGTAAAGATTCCATTTTCATTTATACCATGCAGTTTAGATTTTACTTTACTTTTTTCGGTCCTTTTTGCTTTTTTAGAATATATAAATGCAACTTCTATTTTTTTATAGGATAGGGTGACAAACGAGCACACAGTCCACCTGATGGTAAATGGTTGCTGCGGTCCATAGACATCCACATCTATCCTCGATTACAAATCAAAATGCAGATGCGTTGTCACCCATGAGGACTAAGATGGATTGCCTCGTTTCCAGTAAAAAGGGTCTCCGGTTCTCTACACAGTCTACTACACTCTAAACACAGCAGCATTAAGCTGCTATTTCACGCTGGTATTCTGTGAGAGCGTGGTACTTCTCCGGTCGAGCCGACCCATTTATGCTACAACTATACTACTAATATAACTCTAAATATGGCTCTACCACGTCTGTTCTCTATAACGTCTGTTCTATGTATAATACTAAACAGGTAATTCGGGACCAAAACTGTGTTACAGCTGTGAACCGCGAGGGTGTAGGCGTATATATGCCATGAAGTTATATTTTGATTAACAATAGTTATTGTTTTTATGAAAATATATAGGTTTTTTTTAATAGAATAAGGGTGACAAACGAGTACACAGCCTCCCTGATGGTAAGTGGATGCTGTGGCCCATAGATATCTATCCTTATATGATATTTATTCTCGATAAAGAATCAAAACGCAGATCCGTTATCACCCCTGAGGACTACGATGGAATGCCTCGTTTCCAGTAAAAAAGGATCTCTGGATCTCACTATTCAAAACACAGCAGTATTAAACTGCTATTTTGCGGGGGTATTCTGTGAGAGCGTGATCCTTCCTCGGTCGAGCCGACCCATTCGTGCCACAACCATGATAAAGCTGCAGCTCTACCACGTATAAAAAGTTACATACGTTATCTGAAATTCCGTGTAATACGTGTAGTGGCGATGTAAAATTATCCACTACCTCATGTTGCACTGTTTCAAGATCAGGTAGAAAATAAAAGGGTTGATTCCAACTATTATACTTTATTTCACTAAAACTACACTATTTCGAATTCAGGCAGAAAACAAAACGGTGCATTCAAACTATTACACTTTGGTTTACTTTACAATTTAAACTTATACACAATTCAACTTAACTTCACGTCTTACTGCGACGACTCGTGTTGAGCTAATGCCACTCTCCATTTCAGGGTTGCCATTTCGAAATTTTAAGTTGCCGTGTTTTGTGATCTGGATTGCCGTGTTTTGGAATAAAAACTACAAAATTGCCATATTTATTTTAAATTAACACGTAAAATTAAACATGACGTAAAAACATTACTCTTCACAGACATCACATAAATTTCTTATCGTATCCAAAACTTCTTCTTCGTCTTTGTTCAATTTATATTTATTATTTTCCTTCATATTTTCTATCATTTGTTTTGTCGGTTTGAAATTTACACAATTTCCTCGTGATCGGATAAAGTGCTTAGCTACTAAATTTAAATAAAGTAAATAAACTGCAGAATATCTTTTTAAGGTACTTTTCAAAAAACGAAAGAATGAAATGAATACCATACACAATGAAGTGTGCGCGAATGTATGTCGTATTCGCGTTGGGATTTCTCCGCTCATAGTCATGACTACGTCTAGTATAGTCTAGTGATGTGCGTTATAATGACTTATATCGATTACCGATAAAATTTTTGGAAAAAATTAGTAACCGTTGGATTGCCGTGTTTTAGAACACGGCAATTAATATGCTGCCGTGTACCGTGTTTTATTGTTGAATAGACCCAAATTGCCGTGTAACATGGCAATTGCCGTGTAATGGCAACGCTGCTTCATTTACTAATCAACTTTCTTTTTTTCTTTCGTACTCGTTAGCAGGGTGGGGCGGCATCATTTCCGCCCCACTCTTTTACAGAAATCAAAACATTATTCTTCCGGTTAAATTATATTACACTATCTATTATCCGTAACCATTAATGTGGCATAGGTGATGTGTATTAAATAAATTTTAATGTAATATGATAATACAGTATAATATAAAGTAAATTAATTTCATCTATAAAATCACATATATAAAATCAAAATTCTAAATTATAATAAATATTTTTTGTATAAATTCAACAACTTAATGTAAAATTAAAAATCCTACTTACTGTGGCCGTGGAAGGAAAAGGGGAGATCTCCCGCCGGGCAAGGTGTTCTGCCCGAGGAGCGGGCAACACTCTGTGCGATAGTTCGGAGATGTTCTATATATACTGTTTATGATTCGGAATTCTGATAGCGTGATTTAGGCTTCGGTGTGTTTCGCTTGCGGCGCGACGACAGCGCAGCTACATCACCCCCATGCTCAGACCGGAGGTCGATAGTGCAGTCGAGTTGTCGACGAATGTGCAAGTGCCAGGAGATTGCCTTGTAGTCTGCGGTGAGTCGAGTAGAAGGCAAGTAATCTGCGAGAGTGCCGTGAAGCAGATGCGAGCAGTAATGCTCAGAGCCGTGCCGAACACTGTAGCGCAGAGTGTAGCTTGAAGGAACAGAAAGCATTATTATTCCAGTGCTGCGATGAACCTTGTGAAGCTAGATGGCTTGCAGGATATGAAGACTGCAGACGATATCTGCTCGGGAGCGAATGGCTGGGGTACTCTATGACGATGATGAAGCTTGAAGTTTCCGAAGGTAGCTAGTCGCGAATTCAGATCACATCGGGGTCACCACTAACACACCGAACCCTAAATCACGCTATCAGATTTCCGAATCATAAACAGTATATATAGAATATCTCCGAACTATCGCACGGAGTGTTGGCCGCTCCCCGGGCAGAAAACACTTTGCCCAGCGGGAGATCTCCCCTTTTCCTTCCACGGCCACATGCAATATTAGTTTTAAGTAATATAATGACATGAATAAACATATACATGTTATTAAAAATTCATGATTGGTAAGTTTTTAATATGAATATTTAATGATTTCTTATATTTACGCGAACACTACACATTGATTAAAACTATTTTTACGGATTTTATCGCGTTTAATTTTACTTTTTATTATTTTTATTTTTAATTCCCGACGTTTCGGGTGCTTTCCAGCACCCATGGTCACGGGGGACTGAGGTGACTAACGTCCCGATGTCATTATTAAACGCGGAGTACCTTCAGCTGTTTTAATTATTGTTTATGGTCCGATCTATGCAAAATGAACTGACTATGTCTTGAGGTCTTGCAGTGGTATGCTTGGGTTTAGTTTTAATTTTATTGATTATATGGTCCCAAGCAGGTGGTAGTACCCAGCCTCCTTCTCTATTGAAATTAGGATGTTTTTTTAATTTCAATAGCCTCACGTATCATCCTTGGTAGGAATCGGTGTTCTTTCGCGAGGATTTGTGGTCTATCAAATCTGATGTAATGGTTGGGGCCGTCTAGAATATGATCGCAAACTGCAGACTTCCCGGAACGTTGATGCTTCACATCAGCTATATGTTCCTTGTTGGGTTACGATCGCCATTTTGCTTACGAGCGCTTGCTAGCGCTTTTTCTGCCAAACGCAGCCAATGGCTATCCTTGTCTTTCTTAACATATATCTACTACTCTAACATTAAACTATATCTTTTCTTTGAAAGCCTTGGACTCCTGTCGAAACCTTTAATAAATAATATTTTTTGAATTGTTTTTAATTTTTATAATAAAATTTCCTTATTGTTTAATCTCTCAAATCGTGTTACGTAATCGATTATTACGTAACACATGAATTTAAATTAATTAAAAAATCGTTAATACCTCTTTACAATCATTCATCATTTACACATTCACACACTGTCTTAAGGTTCATGGATTAGCTTTTCTACATAAAAACAATCAGTTAATATCAATTTTAGGCTTGCGACGCAACACTGACTATTTTTAATGTTTAAAATAATATTTAATACCCCTACAAAATTTTTGAAGTGTGTTAAATGAATTGCACATTATTTATTTTTTGCACATACGAGTACATGGCGGCCGACTATCCCAGCTCTGTTCCCATATTCTATTGACTGACCATCACAACTTTTATTTATATGCAATATACAAGTTGTATAACAATTTTCAGCCTTAGTAAATTCATTTTATTAACTCGGCAGGTACGACACCTTTGACCTTAGCACCTCGCTCCTGAGTCACCTGTTCTGTTTCGCTTTACTGACCGCAGCATGTTTGTGTACACAACCATTGTAATGAACTATAAAAAAACTAGCCTAAATCGGGGAATTCACAAGACGGACATGCCCACGGGCTGTTTGTCCGGGCATGTCTGTCGCCGCAATACACTACACAGACTTATCAGTTTGTTTTAGACCGGCTACGTGATTGGTTGTGCGTGCACATTAAGATGACAATCCAGACTTGCAATGCTAATTAGGTTTTTATTATTAATTTGTTGAAAATAATGGTATCAAAATAGAAATAAGTTTCGCCACATCAATTTACATAAATAATTAGAAATTGATGAACAATAGATATAGGAGTCGTATAAACTCTCTACCCAGAATATTTTATTATCGTTAAAACACATTGCAAATTTAAAATCTCCTAAGTTCGTTAAATAATAATAAAAGGTCGTCCGCACTCGTTGCTGTCGCTCTTGTCTGAGAACAGACAGCCCGCAGTTAACATTCACGTTCGGGCGTGTCTGTGCCCGCGCAGACAAAATGAGATCGCGCGGACGTTTAACAGGCAAATTTGGCAGACCGACTGCGACGGTCCTGCACTATAGAACTTTACACTTTAGTAGCGAAGTCCGGCAGGCATGTCTACAGACATACCCGTGGGCAAGTCCGTCTAATGAATTCCCTGCTTTAGTAAATTGAAACAGTTTTTAGGCGCTGGCTCTCCGTCTATTAGGAGCTTCCCTAGCCTGCCTACATTCAAAGTGGGTAACCCAGAATTGTATGTTGATATTTGGCATGATTGCTTACTACTCTCCTTACGTACCTAAAGGGACATGCAACAATGGGTTCACGTCCCCCTGCTATCAGTGCTGAACCATTCTGTACTACATAGAGGTGCTTAAAACATAAATTATTCATGAACAAACACAAAACAATTCTTTATAGGCATTCATAACAGATTAAAATAAGACTTGACTCAATCAAAAACGTATATATTATTAATTTTGAAATATATGTTCTACGCGGAAATCGAACCCTTTGAATTAAACGCACTCAGGAGGCAAACTATTATCATATATTTTGTTATTTGATAACATACTTGAATCATCACTTTCTTAATATTGCATGTTTAATATTTAATATTAATATTATTTTTAAAGGCTTCTTTCATATTATAGGCAACAAGAAACTGATAATGAGGTTGCAATGTCAGCCTTAGAATGTGCAGAGGTTTTCTTGACAGTGTGTGGAGTATTCTTAAAGCCAACAACGCATAAGGTATTTACGAAAATAAAAATTATATTCATTTATTCATACATTAAGGTGATACCTCGAAAATTTGGTGGTTTTTCTATTTAACATATTTTTTTAAGTTTTATAGATTACAAACCAAAATTTTGGTATATGATTTTTGACTATATGATTTTGGATTGCATAAAAGGAAAACACGATATCATGTAATATTCTCGATAGAAAAAAAATGCGAAGTAGACTAATTATTTACATTTTTCGATGACACCACAATATTCTTACGAATAATTTCATGGAATTATTTTTAAGGCATAGTAAATAATCATATCTAAGTTCTCATAAACAAGTTTTTTAATCCATAACCAAGTTTTGTTAAAATAAATGAAAATGTTGTTTGGCGCTTACTTAGTTTTTTCCCGAGCGCTTGCTCGGTATGGCTATCTCATAATTTGCGTACTATGAAGTCATTGCATCACTTTCATTTTGACACTCCCGCAGTCAACCGTTAGCTTCACCGACAAAGGAATAAGCCACGCCCCCAAAGCTTCGATTCATCTTCAAGGTATCCTCTTAAAGCCTATAACAAGTGGTAAAATTAAAAAAAAATGTACAACCGTCTTTAATATCCATAAAATGAGAACATCATCAATGTAGTCGGAATAAATTAAATACGCATTATTAAGGATAACTGAAAAACTACTACTAAATTTATATGGGACCACATGAGAAGTACCAGCTTTCAAACAAAAAAAGAATCATCGAAATCGATTCATCTAGACAAAAGTAATGAGATAACACACACAAAAAATACAGTGGAATTGAGAACCTCCTCCTTTCTTTGAAGACGGTTGAAAACTCAACTGCTTAACATAGACCTCCCCCATAGAGCGGGGAGAGGAGGATATTTACAGCTTTCATGAATGGCACCAACTGGTAACCGTAGATTTTTTATTATTTTGAGTTATCAGGAAGATGTTGCTGCCCTTTTCCTGTTTCATTTCAAAATCTATATTGAATAGTTGCAACGCCATTTTATTTCTATATTACGCATGTCGAGAAAAAGTGGACTGCTAAAATTCTAAATATTTTGTGCAAAGTCGACTACTATTTCTTTGATTTTATTTAAGGTTAAATGAAGTAGGTTTATTTTTATTATTTCTAACTATTATTATTTATTTTTAAAATTCATATTATGGGCTGTAAAAGTAATATAATATTTACCTACAAAAAGGTTGCATTAAAAAAAAACTTGAAATTGTCACTGTGAAATGATAAAAAGGCGCCAAATTAAAACACGATTGATAAAGTTATTTTATCACGTGCATTTCATTACTTAATTTTGTAACTTTAGGTTATTCTATTAAATTAAGCTAATTCTGTTTATAATTTTAATTTAAAAATTATTAATTCCTAATTTTAATATTTGTCCACTGACAGGTGTTTCAGGATCATTTCGTACGGGAGTGTTACAACTCTAACACGTATTCAGATGCGTACATTTTGTCCTTGTTGCGTGTATTAGAAGCTTCCAGAAAGACTACACCGTCCACTGTGCCACCGCCGACACAGTATTGTCTCCATTTATACAGTGTGCTTTCGAACAATCACTGCAGAGAGGTTTGTATCCATAATGAATTTTAATGTATTTAATTTTTAGTACTTTGAGGGATAAAAATGTTAAAAATCAGTGCATGTAATATAATTTTTAATATATTCTCTAAGGCAAGGCATGTTTATTATTTTATTAATTAAGATCACTCACGTAAAATACATTTGTGACTGTTTGCTTTATTTCATAATTTAAACTTACTTTTTATGTGCATTTAATTAAATGAAATCTCTTTATTTTTCGACGTTAGAGATTATTATTAAATTTACAGCTATATATATATTAAAGTTACAGCCTATATATGTCCCACTGCTGGGTTCAGGCCTCTCACTTATGAGAGGGTTTTAGGGCAAGTAAGTGTCCGCCGCGCGTTGGCGGATTTCACATGTTTTAGAAATATTTTATTTTTATTTCTGAGGCATGTAGATTTCCTCACGATGTTTTTCTTCACCGCCGAGCACGTGCTAAATAAACACTTAAAATTGCAATTGACAATTTCATTCGTCCCGACGGGGGTCATACCCGGGTTGCTCACCTACTGTGAAATTTACATCGAGCGTTAAGCCTCTCAGTTACTGCGGTAAAAAATAAAGTCTAGTTCGTTACAGATACTCATTCATTATCATTGCCACTTCTTAACATATCGCTGATATAAAACCTTTACCATTTCACCCATTAGCGCTACTCCAGTTATATAGTGAATTGCTATTTCATGTTTTCGTGGACTTTGATTGTCTATAAAATTATGAAAAAAACCACCAAAAAAAATAAAAAACCCCAAAAGGAAACACTAAAAAACCCAACCCACACACCCATAAAAACATTATTTATTTTAACACCCCAAAACCCAAAAAAAATCCTTATATTTTAATAAAAAATAAAACAAAAAAAAATAAATAAACATTCCTCCACCCCCCCCCCCCAAAAAACACCTTAAAAAAAAAAAAAAAAAATATTTTTTTAAAAAAAAAAACACAACCCACCCCCACCCAACAAAAGCAAACAAAAAAAAAACAACAAAAAAAAGTATTCTGTGAGATAGTGGTCCTTCCCCGGTCGCGCCGACCCATTCATGCTGCAACCATAATATAGCTGCAGCGTGGCTCAACCACGTACAAAACACGTATACCTCACCACGTGTACCTCAATCAATCAAGCCATTCGGAACTTACTCAATCACTACCAAGCAGGTGCACCTACTAAATATTTTCATTTATATTTTCAGATATCAAAATTCTGTTCCCAAGCACTACTAGATATAAGGTTACACTTGCACTGTTCGCCGCCTTCACTCAACTTTGCATTAGAAATACGCCCAGATAAAGAAAAGATAATAGATAATCAAAAGAGGATATCGGAGAGAAATAGAGCAGCATTAGAAAAACTTCTAGGGCCTGATAGGTATGATTGTTTTATTAAAGGAGTCATAATAATTAATTATCATTTTGGTGTATAAATACAAGAAGAAAAATATATTTTTGTTTACATAGTGTCTTTAAAAGAAAAAAAAACAAGAAAGTTCTTAAGCTTTTTCTATGTTTATTAACTGTTCCCATTAGACTGCTAATATTGTTATTTTTTACAGAATGCCTGTGCAAATTAACGAAGAAGTTATAACAATTCCCGATGAACCATTAAGTAAAAAACCACGTCTAGATGATTCATCAGATAAAATAAGTTTAAGCAGCGAATCTGTGTGTTCGGTTGAAATGTCTGATGAGGTAACTGAAGTTAGAGGACGACGTGACGGTGAAGCACCAAATGACCTGGAACAAGAAAAAGAAATTTCTAACGAAGCAGAACCTGAAGAGGTAGATTCTAATGAATCAGAATCTGAAGAGGTAGATTCTAACGAAGCAGAACCTGAAGAGGTAGATTCTAACGAAGCAGAACCTGAAGAGGTAGATTGTAGCAAAAATGCTGATGACAAAGAAGTTACAATTATCAAGGAACTAGTAATAGAGGAAGTTGATGGAAATTTAGGTCAAATAGAAAAAACAGATCCGATTATCTCTGAAGTTACAAAGAAAAGTGAAAAGGAGGAATCTGAGAAAGAAACAATATATGAAGCAGAAACCCAAATACCATTGAGCACAACACATGATGAAATCGATGAAGAGGAAAGATCCTTGTCTATGGAAGTTACTTATGACTATCCAAACACAGGAACTGAAAAGGTCACCGTCTTAGAAAAGATGGACGACGAAAATCTTCCAAGTACAAATGACACTGATGATGTCCAAATAACTTGCGGACAAGCTGTTGTAACATCCCAAGAAATCGATTCTGAAAACAAACCTAAGGAAAATGAAGGAAAAGTACCTGATGTTGAAATTAAAGTTAATGGAATAGACGCAAAAGATACTATTTTAAATGGTGATGTTAACGAACAAGAGACCACAGTACCAGTTAACAATTCAGATAAATTATCTAAACCTGATGACGTATCTATCGCAGACATGATGGCCGATTTTGTGGATGAAGTCAACGAACAAAGTTCTTAAGCATCTATATTTTGTTTATTATTTTTAGTATTAAGCTAGGACATTGTGCCAAGAATAAATGTTATTTGCTTTAAATATATACAATTGTGCTCTTGATTTTTGTTTTTCAATTCCAGATGACTTTTTACCGTCCAGAATAACAATATAGCGGAAAGGCTAATCTCAGTAGAACAGTTATTTTACAAATTGTCAAAGTATGAAATTGATCTATCAATAAATACTACTATGCAAAGTATTCATCCTAAAACATTAAAAACAAAAAGTTTAAAAAATATCAAATTTTATTCAAATGGCTATTGGCCCGAATATCACAGGCATGCACCCTTTTCAGTTAGCAATAGATCGTCGACGGTTTTTCCGTTAACTGTAAGTAAATCGTTAATTTTCGTTCATCTATTAACCTTTGAGCACCAAAGTCGCCTATACTTGACCAGCACTTGCGAGCTCTGAGCGCCAACGACGTCTATAGTCGACAAAAACCCGGCCCACAAAAATATGAAATATAGATATTGGAAAATTATTACTGATATTTTAATTCTACACTTCTCAAAAAAGAATAACCCAGCAACATGTGAGTATGAAAAACAAAGTCTCCTAGAGCCACAAGTACTAAGAGTAGTAAGCAAATACTATGTCCAGCACGCCAAAGTCGTCTATGTTTGACCGCTAGTGTTGTAATGCCTTAGGCATAGATTTATTGAAAACTTAAGCATTAGGACAAACCCCCGAACCCCAAAAACAAAAAAAAAAAAAAAAAAAAAACAAACCAAAAAGAACAAAACCCCAAAACCCCCACCACATAAAAAAAAAAAAAAAATTATTTTTTTAAAATAAAAAAAAAAAAAAAAAAAAAAAAAAAATTTTATTTTTTAAAAAAAATAAAAAAAAAATTTTTTTTTTTTTTTTATTTTTTTTTCAAATTTTAAAATAATTTTAAAACCCTTATTAGGTAATTTTTCTAAAACACACAAAAAAAAAAAAAAAAAAAAAAATAAAATAAAACAAAAAAAAACAAAAAAAAAAAAAAAAAAAATTTAGTAAGTTTTTTTGTACAAAGTACATATATAAAAAGAGTGGAAGACAGCACAAGATTAAATAAAACATACCAGATTATAGTCATTTATTGCGTAAAAAACCAGCAAAATCAAGTTATTTTGTGTTATCGATATATCAACTCTTGGCAACACTAGTTTTTTCGTAGGTATTTTTGTTTAATTTTCGATTTGGCGTACAGGACACGGTAGTACGTTTTTGGCGTGGCGCTCAAAAGGTTAATCAACAGAGACAGACAAAGTAGTATACACAATTTCTTATAACCAATTTAGTTAGATACTCGAATGTACCAAGGAAACCGTTTACAAAAGGATCATCTATAAATAGACATAAACAGACGGAAATGCCATGAGAACGTCGTCTGCTGTATATGAGCATATTTATTTATTTAGGTACACAAAACAATAACACCAAAACGTGAACAATTTAAAATAATAAATACAAAGTTACAATCTGGATGGTATTCCAAAACTTGTGCACACAACATGATATTAAGTAACAGTAACGATTTTACAGCACAAATAATTATAACCTTACTTACAAACATACTAAACATATGTGGTGAAAAATTTAAAAACTTAAATCTTTATTAAAATAATGTTTATTTACCTTTACATTTAAATTTTAAGCCTTGAATGCATTATTTACAAAGAATATCTAATACGGATTTTTTGAAATTGTTTAATTTGTTATTAAAATGTCTATATTTTTACTATTATTAATCAATAAGTCATTATGTAGGCGACACATTCATACAAGAGGATTGTAATAGGGCGTATTATTTATTTTTATAATCTTGCAAAGCGAAAGTATACCGACGAGCATTAATCTTGACAAATGAAAGCAGGGTGGGGGAATCAATAAGAGAATGAATAATTTTGAAAAGGCAAGTCATATCCTGATATTTACACCGAGTTTGTAGTGATATAATGTTAAACTTTTTCACTTCCTCTTCATAGGAAGGCAGACTTCTATTTAAACCATACCTATAGCAGAGGATTGATAGAAGTTTCTTTTGAAGACGTTCAATACGATCTTCATGGATAGCGTAATATGGAAACTAAATAATTATGTTGTACTCTAAAATACTGCGTACTAGGGAACAATACAAAATAAGAAATCTTCGTGGATTTTTAAAAATATTTGCAGTTGTAAATATAAAGCCAAGAAGTTTTGTACTTTTCGATATCACATGATCGTAATGACCGCGGATCGTAAGCTTTTCATCAAACAGTATTCCAAGATCCTTAACTACGGATTTTCTATCAAGTACCTGTCCATTTATTTTATACTCAAACGTAAGTCTGTGTTTCTTGTTGCTAAATGATAAGACAAAACATTTTCTTGTATTCAGATGCATTAGGTTTTCTTTACACCAATTATGAATGGAGTCTAAATTCGACTGAAGAACGAATCGCTGAGTGTATCGATAACGGAAAATAGCTTCAAATCATCTGCATACAACAGGCATGGACATGTTAATTTATCAATAAGATTGTTAATAAATGTTATAAAAAATAAACGACCTAAATGGGACCCTTGTGGCACACACAATGTCACAAAACGGGTGAGGATTTGAAACCTTTTATAGTAACTAACTGACTCCTGTTGAGGTATGATTCCGTCCATCTCAACAGACTCCCATATATTTCGAGACATGCTAACACTTGATTTGATACATAAAATATTGTAGCGCGCCTAAGTTGATGTCTGGTACCTGGCACTAGCACCATCTAGTGTCGGGGAACAGAGCGAGGAGAGCTTTCTAGAAAATGCCATGACTGAATTTTCAACCAACACCGCCATCTAGTATCGAATAGAAGAGCTAAGCTTTCTGGAAAGCTCCACACTCGAACTTTCTGCACCTGGTCGATCGGGGGCCGCTATTTGCTGGAATATTCTGGAGGTATCGGTGAAGAAGGCGTATATAAAGGCGTTGAAGGCCGCCACCGGGGCAGTATTGAATTGGCAATACGAGCAAAGCTTTCGGAGTGAAATAAAGTGAACTAAAGTGTTAATTGTGAATAATTATTAGTGTGATTTAAGTTTTAATTGGTGTTTAGTAATTAAAGTGTCAATTTAGGTAATTCAATCGGCAGTTTTTATTGTCATGAACCTTAAGCTCGTAACAATTGGTGTCAGAAGTGGGATCAAATAATTCCGATTTTACCTAGGGATGAAATGGAGGGTGTCCGTACCCGAAATCAACGCCAGCGGGAGACGGACCAGAGGCAATTTTGTGGTGTAACGCTGCAGACGTCTGAGGGCCAGCCGCCGGCCACGGAGGCCGGCCCATCAGTAGCTTCTACATCTGTAGCACCTGACTTAGGTGCTCTGATGGTGATGCTGCAGCAGCTGCGGGGCGGACAGGAGGAACAGGCCCGTCGACAGGAGGAACAGGTCCGCCGACAGGGGAGCAGATGCTCCTCATGAAGGACCTTCACGCAAATTTTGTGAAAGTGATAAAGGAAGTGAAGGATATGGGTGCTCAACATGACAACCGCCTGTCGGAAGCGGAAACCCGAATCGTGGAAGCTGAAACCCGAATCGTGGAAGCTGAAACCCGAATCGAGAAAGCTGAAATCCGAATTGACCAAGTGAATCGTCAATCGGGTTGACGTGATGGCTGACGTGAAGAAAACGTTGGACGACCTCAAACTTGGGGATGCAATTACGGCCCCGTAGTAGCTACAACACCTTCGCTACTTGGATTAAAAGTGCCGCCGTTTGACGGGACTTCTTCCTGGTCAGCCTACAAAATCCAGTTCGAAGCCGTATTGAAGGCGAACGGCTGGAATAAAAGTCAGGCCATGACTGCTCTCACACTAGGCCTGCGAGATCAGGCCATAACTGTTCTGGAAGCTCTCGGTGAGCAAGCGACTTATGAGAAGCTCATTGAGGCATTGGAGGCGAGAGGCGACGCTCACCTGGAACACGTCTTTCGCGCGCAGCTTGAAGATCGCGTGCAGCGCAAAAAGAAAACCTGCAGCAATGGGCTCTAGAGGTGGAGAAGATGGTGCGAAAAGCATACCGGTCTGTACCTGCGCTCATTGAAGGGAACCTGGTGCAGACATTCATCGACGGCATCCGCGACCTTGAAGTCGGAGCTGCTGTCAGGCTCGAGCACCACGAGCTGCTTAAGGACGTCTTGGCCCATGCACTAGAGGTGGAAGCCGTGCGGCAGGATCATCGTTCCCATAGTGTCAGGGAGATTGCAGTAGCTACAGTTCGCGACCGCAATAAAGAATACAGCCCTAGGTGCTATGGCTGTGGGGAAAGGGGCCAGTTTCGATCCAGCTGCCCTAAGTGAACCCTAGAAAAGGAAGGTGAACTATCTCAGGAGGGTAGTGCGGCCAACAACACCGCCCAGCAGCAGCAGGGAAACGAGTAAAAGCCAGAACTGCGGGGCGGGTGCTGGCTGATGTTAAGAGCCCCAAGGCTCTCGATCTCATAAACCCATGATGGGAACAGCCTAATTATCAAGGGCGAGATCAATGGAACGCCGTGTAAACTGACCATAGACACTGGAGCCTCTCGTACGGTTGTTAGTTCCCAACTTATAAGCCAGTTCCTTGGGGACTCCGCATACAACCGAGAACGCATTAATTTGGTAACAGCCGCCAATCAGCGTATACCCGTCCTTGGAGAGAAGGAGATGGAGTTGAAGCTAGGCAACATGATCTACCTGCATAATGTCATCGTGGCTGATATAATAGACGACTGCATCATGGACACAGACTTCACGAGGAAGAATTGTGAGATTTAACGTCAATCAAAGCAAGGTGTTTGGAAATGTGGACAAGAGGAATTTTTCGTGGAAGGGGCGTTACCAGGTAACGTGTACAGCCTTAAGAAGATTGTTCTTCCGCCGAGATCGGAAACGATTATGCCGGTTAGTCTTCATCGGAATCCTGGGCAACCTCATCGTTGTGTACTCGTGGAAAGGT